GTCTGTTAAATAAAAATATAAAATAAATGAAAAAATAAGCATCGGACAGCTCTGGCATAATGACAGAATCATCCTGCACCCCAAATCTTGGGACTTCATGTCTTGCCTACTAAATGGGTAATTAAGCCTCTAAGATTAGAGCACTGGTTTTCAGTGTCCCCCAAATCACAGTGTCAGCATCACCTAGGAACTTGTTAGAAACTGAGACCACCCCAGACCTACTGTTAAGAACCTGGGGGTGGAGCCCAGCATTCTTTGCTGTAACAGTCCCTCCAGGAGATTCTGTTTCATCCTAAAGTCTGGCAAGACCTTAGAGACAAAGCCTGCAAATTCAGGACACGGTTAAAGCTCTTTTTTTCCTCCAAAACTTATTAACTATTTTAAGTGTTGACTTGTTTTAATAAAATTTCAGCACAATGAAACTTTAAGAAAATACTTTTTCCTATAATTCCTTAGTTGCATAGTTTCTTATGCAATTTTTTAAAATCTCCTTTGCATACGTATAATTGTCTTCTGCCACCCTTGTTTTATGAAAACTTCCCATACGACTGAATAGTACTCAATTAAATTGAAACACTAACTTGTTTTAATCATTCTCTTATTGTTAAGTATCTACTTTTTAGTCTATCCAGTTTTTTCACTATCGTTAATAACTTCATCATGAACATCTTTGTGCCTGTAGCTTTTGGGTTTTTTCTTTAAATTTTGAGAAGAGTAATTATTGAGTCAGAGCATGTAATATGAACAAACCATTTATGGCTCTTGCTATGTATTGCTTAAATACTTGCCAGTGGCGCCAATTACAAAACCACTCTCACTGGCAAATATATTTGTAATTGAAAAAAAATAAACCTATGAAAGAAAAATTCACCCACTTATTTAGCAGACTTAAACTTAAGAGCAATGGAATAGAGCTGATGATTAAACTAGTAGATGTAATAAATTCATTCCTTACTTTTGTTATGTTGGTTAAAAAAAAGAATAATTCATTCATTTTTTCTTATTTGTCAGTGTGACACGTCAGAAATCATGGGCTTGAACCCGCTTAATTAAATCATTTTATTCATCTATATAATGAAAGTTGGAACACACAGTAGGTGATCTAGAAGGTGTTTCCNCAGAGACAAACAAGACAGAGCCCTAGAGAATCACAGTCATATGAGGCATAAAGAGGATTTTAAAAATTCCAGAAATGTGGCAAGTAATTAACTAAAGGGATGAACATACTTCAAAAGGAACACAGAGAACTAACAGTTGGGAGATAAGTCCTAACCCCAAACCTTCAAAATACATCCGAAATGTGACTTCTCATCACTTCTGCCACTATCACCCTTGTGACTTCTCGTCACCTCTGCCACTATCACCCTTGCCCAGCCACTGTCAACACTCATCAGATTATTGATGGTAACAGCCTCCTTGATGGCCTCTCGCCCCTGCCCTCCTGTCCCCTACTCCCCAGACAATAGCCAGATTAGATTTCTCAAAACCTCCGGTGGCCTCCATCACATTGAGCATAAAAGCCAAAGCAATTACCATAGGCTGCAAAGCCCTACATGACCTGGCCTCTGCCTTCGCTCCCACTGTTTTTCTCATCACCCCCTTGTGTCCCAAGCTCCACTGACCTCTCTGCCCTTCTTGGAAAACACCAGGCCTGCCCACCTGAGGGCTTCATGCTGCTCTGCCCTGGGGTGTTCTTCCCACAGTTCCCAGCACGGTCTCTCCCACTTCATTCGGGCACGTGGCTGCTCAAATGCCACCTCCCAGAAGCTTCCTCTGAATACTGTATAAAATAGTGCCCCCCGACCCCCAATCACTTATCCTGCTTAAAGACACCCTAATGCTGCCTAATTTTTCTTTGTGAGACTTAACACCTCGTATATTAAATATTTATTTCTTTACAGGTTTCTTATCCGCCTCCCCACTAAACTATAAGTTCCATTAGGATACAATCTATCTATATTTCATTGACTGTGATACAGTGCCTGGACACACCAGATTCTCAATAAATTGCTATTGAATAAATGGATGAATGAATGATTGAATTGCTTTAAGAGGTCATGGAAGGCTTCCCTGGACGTGGATAGTTGTTGAGTGTTGCAGGATAAGCAAGAGTCTGCCAGNCCAGCAGCTGTGTTCTTCTTTTTCTCCTTTAAAAGCCAAGATCTTACATAGATGGGATCCTGTAGGTTATTCCCATACTCCCCAATGCTGACTGCAGATCCGATCCCTTAGAGGTTGTTCTGAAGATTGAAATCCTAAATATTGTAAATCCCTCAGAATGCTGCCTGGCACATTACATAAGTCTGTTAAATAAAAATATAAAATAAATGAAAAAATAAGCATCGGACAGCTCTGGCATAATNATTTTATTCATCTATATAATGAAAGTTGGAACACACAGTAGGTGATCTAGAAGGTGTTTCCCAAACCATATATTCATACTATTGGGACTTTTCTGTTTATAGATATTATAAATGTTCAGCATAGAAAATATTAAAAACATAGCAAAAAAAGAAAATTTATCCCTATTATCAACAACTAGAGAGCCCCTTGGTTAATACTTTTTGTGCATCCTCAAGACTTTGTTCTGTGTCTATGTATACACATTTTGTAAAAAGGAACCTATTGTACTACTGTGTTTACTATGTTGTTTTTTGTGCTTAATATATCGTGAACATTTTCCCATGCCAATGAGGTTTTTTGTTCAACAACAGCATTTTTAATGGCTCTGTGGATTTGTATCAAGGTTTATGAGGGTACTTCAAAAAGTTTGCAGAGGGGCCAGCCCGTGTCTCACTTGGGAGAGTGTGGTGCTGACAACACCAAGTCAAGGGTTCAGATCCCCTTACCAGTCATCTTTTAAAAAAAAATTTTTTTTTCATGGAAAATAGATTTAAAAGATATACAAATCTTTCCATGAACTTTTTGAAGTACCCTCATATTTACTTATTTCCATATTACTGGATATTTGTGCTGTTTCTGGTTTTTTTATATATGGTTCTGCAATGAACATCCTTGTATCCATTTCCTTAGAATGAATTCCTAGAAGTGAAATACCTGATACGCATAATGCTAAGAATTTTGATACATACTGCCAAATTACCATCCCAAAATGTTGTCCCAATTTACACACCCAGCATCACTGTCTAAAAATGTACATATCCTAATTTGATAGTGAGGAATTGTATCTCATAGGTGTCCTAACGTAGATACATGTGTATCTAATCAATTTTTTTTTCAGAAATCAACAGTCCATTTCAACAGTTAAAAACTCTTCATACCTTAGATAGGTTGCTTAGGTATAGGTAAAAAGTTTATTATTAGCTACTCCTTTTGACCTTGTTTAGTCTCCTGTTAGAAAATTAGTCTAAGTTATTAATACAACTGAGACCATTTCTGAGGCCCTACTTGGGAAGAAGAGCTTAAGGCTCTGAGGAAAAATGTTCTTTCCTAACAGCTTTCTCTGTTTTCTATTTAACAGGCCACACCCCCTGTGACCATTCCAGGATCGGCCAAGTTCACCCCCAACGGCAGCAGCTTCAGCATTTCTTGGCAGTCCCCTCCAGTCACTTTCACAGGCATTCCAGTAAGTAGAAAAACAAGAAAGCCTGAAAGCTAGTCAAAGCCAAACATAAATTTAGAGAACAAATTGTAGAAACATGCAAGGAAAAGACAACAGTCAAAATGCTAGCGTACTATATTTCTTCAGTGACAATTATAAACTCATCAGCAAAGTATCTCGTGGTCCAGACAGACCCAACTTCTCTGTGAAAAGGTGTTTTGACAAGTATTTTAGAAAACTAGAGGAGAATTTCAGCTGTTGATAAACAACTTGTTAGAAATAGATCAAGATTTTCTGTGTTAGTGGTACGTTTGATGTTTCCAAAAGACTATAAAATTTATAGCTGAACTCAGACCTTGTATGGAAAAGATAGTGTTTATCATTCTAAGTAACTTTATAACATTTATTACTTTGAAATTATTGTTTTGTAGGTATGTCATTTTGAAGGTTCAAAAAAATAAATTGAAATCTTTTTTTTTTTTTAAAGATGACCAGTAAGGGGATCTTAACCTTTGGCTTGGTGTTGTCAGCACCACGCTCAACCAGTGATCTAATGGGCCATCCCTATATAGGATCCGAACCCGTGGCCTTGGTGTTATCAGCACCGCATTCTCTCGAGTGAGCCACAGGCCGGCCCCGAAATCTTTTTTTTTGAAAGCCTGAATAGTCCATGCTGATAGATAATTTGAAAATAAATGAGTGCTGAAATATGCAATAAGATTTAAGTAGTACATAATAAGAATTGATGTGTCATATTAAGTGATTGCTGAAATAAAGCACCCTGAATTAACTTGATTCCTAAGCATTCATTTAAAAATATATGGGGTCTTTTATAGCTTATCACAGAATACGCATAGATCTGCACACTGTTGATGCTCATGGTGGTGTGTAACTCCTGATAAGGTTCAGAAAAGTGGCTTCTGATAACAGATATTAACCATATTTTCTCTTCTCCACCCCTCTCCCTAAGGACCTCACAAAAGCTTCTTATTGTCAACCACTGGCAACTCCCAGAGGTTTCCAGCAAAGTCTAAATCCTCCTACAGAGCTGATAAAAATGAAAGTGGCTGAGTGAATTATGCTGTGCTCTGTCAATGAATATTCATTAAATCCATAAGGGAATAGCTAACAATACAAAGCATCTCACCGGCAACAATTTGGGAAATGGGGGTTTCGAGAAAACACTCCTGGAATGCGATTTTTAAGAAATACCATGGATCTGGAGTAATTATGAAAGTTGCCTGTTTCATTGAAGAGTGGTAACTGCTGGTAGTTGTGAAAAAGTGATCTTGTTAGTAGACATTAGAAAAGAGCAGCCTAGATGTATAGGTAGTAGTTTTGCTTCTGGCAAGAACATTGATCCACTGATGCGGGTGTCAGAGGTTAACAATCTGTCTTTTGGGGGACTTTTTTCTCTGGTAAACATAAAAAGGCCATCTGAGACAAAGCCATTTGAGAAGGCTTTTTGGCCTTCTGTGTTAACCTATAATGGCAGCTACAATTACAAAATTATCGAGACCTACTGTTCTGCATCCTATTAATTCCTGCCTTTGACTTGGGAAGAATTTTCAAGCATTACACCATGTTGCTCATCTGGTGTAAAAATAAGTGCACCATTTAGATGGAACGGCCCAGTTCAAACCTCTTTTCTAATTACCTCTGTGATCTACCAAACAGGAATTTTTTCCCCTTTGCTTTCTTAATTAAATCATATCCTGAAGTATAGAGAAATCACTCTGAGTGGTTTTTTACTAGCTGCATGTCCTCCGTGGTTCTTAAATGTCTTACACAGTAGGATACCAGCTAAGATACCTTATGTTGTCTGTTTTTCAACAATGCAATTTTAAAACTCTTTTCTGTTATGGACGTTCTATATCTTTACCCTCATCTCAATGCCCTAGAATCTTCAGAGTCCCTCGTTTCGCTATGCATTGGTGGCCAAGGACATTTTAGACAAGAGCTTTGACAGAAAGTATTTAGAGTGACTGGGTTAACTAGATATTCCACAAAAGTCTTAGGTACACTTCTAATTTAGTCTTTCACTAGAGAATTCCCAATCTATTTGGTGTATATTCTGTTTCAGCAAAAACTTTAGACTATTTTAGTAGTCAAGCTTGCCATTCCTATTTAAAGATAAAGATGGTATTTTCAAAGGCTTTTGTTTTACTTTAGAATGAAAGGAACATATAACTAAGAATGTTTTTTATGTTGATAAATTCTCTATCAATGCTTTAAAAAAAAAAAAGTGTGTGATTGCTATCCTCCTCTTCTGCTCTCCTAACAGTCTACACCACACATATGCAGGACTGTTACAAGTCCACTGACTGAGTGCCAACAACTGTCCCTGAATTCTCCAGAAGTGCTAGACCCAGCCCCTTGAGGAAGGGAGCCAGGTGGAATCTAAGAACATGTGAATTCCTACCTTCTAAATTGGTGTGAGCAGTGGATTGAATTATGTCCCCCCAAAACTCATTGAAGCTTGAATTGTGTCCCCCAACTTTATGGATTAGAAGCTTAGCCCCCACTGTGACTGTTAAGAGGGTGGGAACTCCTATTATGGTAATTGAACAGTGGGGCCTTGAAGAGGTGGTTAGATTGTGCAGTAGTGAATAGATTAATAATGGTGGTGAGGGGCGTGGTTCTGAGGGCTTTAAAAGAAGAGGAGAGTCTGTCTCTTTCTCTGCTCCATCATTTTCACAATGTGATTCCCTGCCATCATGGAAACCACCACCAAAGAAAGCCTTCACCGGATGTACTCCCTGGACTTTGGACTTCCCAGCCTCAGAAACTGTAAGCAGTAAATCTGATTTTCTTATAAATTACCCAGTTCCGGGTCATTTTGTTATAAGCAATAGAAATGGACTAATACAGTGTGATAGGGGTTTCAGACAGAAGCTCTAAAAGTGTTAAATAGTACTAATGTTAATAGTGAAATAGTATTAATGTTAGCTTCAGCTGTGTCCAAACTGAAGAATAGAGCAGTTTCCATTTTGTAAAATGCTTTTCAAAAAAACCCTGTTCTCTTTGTGCTCTAAACCAAATACTCCAAGGTTGTCAACCCCAATTAGGGTTTACTTTCCTCCCACACCTTTGAGACCTGGTATTGGAGAGGAGGTGCTTCTTTTTTACACTTTCTAGAGAGGAGAAAAAAATCCCCTTCTGAGAAATCCCAAGGTTTGTAGGATTTTTTATTTATTCATTTGCCTATGCTAGATTTCTTGAACATTGGGCTTTAATAAGTTCCCTGGGTAAGACCCCTTCTGGGAGGTATGTAGCTGAGAAGGCTGATCTGCATATTGTGTATACAAATGTAACCAGAAGTTCAGTCTTTTCTAGCCTAAGGCTGTTGGGAGGTGGGTAGAAAGGAGACCCTCATTAATTACAGCTTTCCTTAACCTGTTTTTCCCTAATGCCCTTCCTTTCCTTATAATTATCTCCATTACTTTTTCTGTCTTTTCATGACAGAAAACTAAGAGCTCTTGGCCCCATTATTAGCAGGCTCGGGCAGCCATAACAAGATGCTATAGAGTGGGTAGGTTAAACAACAGGCATTTATTTTCTCACACTCTGGAGGCTAGCAGTCCAAGATCAAGGTGTCAGCCAATTCAGTTCCGGGTGAAGGCGTTCTTCCTGGCTTGTAGATGGTCTCCTTCTCACTGTGTGTTCACATGGCCTTTCCTCTGTGTGTGACCAATTGAGAGAGAGAGAGAGACCCTCTGGTGTCTCTTCCTATAAGAACACTAATCCTATTGGATCAGGGCCTCACCCTTAAGACCTCATTTAAATTTAATTACCTCTTTAAAGGCCGTCTCTCCAAATACAGCCACACTGAGGATTAGAGCTTTAACGTATGAATTTTGGGGGCAGTGGGGAAGGACACATTTAATCCCAAACAGCCCCCAAACAAGCAGGTAGGAGCCAGTCAACCTGCCATCCCAGGGTGGTTCTAGGAGGCTTCAGGCCATTGGAAGGGTTTCCAAACCTGAAATAACAATGTTTAATTGTTAGATGCTTAGCTGGCTTTGGTTTGTTTTTTTAATGCCTCGAGGGAGGGTTCAGAAGAGTATGTTATAAGGGAGGATTCTCCCTTCTTAGAATCCATTCATGTCGGGCCGGCCCGTGGCTCCCTTGGGAGAGTGCGGTGCTGATAACACCAAGGCCACGGGTTCAGATCCCATATAGGGGTGGCCGGTTAGCTCACTGGGTGAGCGTGGTGCTGACAACACCTAGTCAAGGGTTAAGATCCCCTTACCAGTCATCTTTAAAAAAAAAAAAAAAGAATCCATTCATGTAACACAAATATACTGAACACCTGGGAGAGATTACCACAGTTTTTGCAGGTTATAGTTTAGAGTTCTTTCAACACTTCTGAGGTCACACCTAATCAGTAGACAAATTATGGACATATCACCCAATGATTTTATTTCTTTAGAAATAATATTGTATGGTACTGTCAAGTATATTATATACTTTAGAAAACATGCCCCAAAATAGAACTTAGAAATAGTTAAAACAAAAAACAAAGACTGAAATGTGGAGACCACTGAGAACAAGAGCCATAATAATGCTTTATAGGGCTTTATTTTAGGGCACCTGTTATTTCCATCAGTGATGTGGCAGCATGGAAGGGTGGCAAGAGCAGGGCTTTGACATCATTCAGAAATAAGTTCCTAGGCCAGCTGATACCAGACCCAAGAGCCATAATAATGCTTTATAGGGCTTTATTTTAGGGCACCTGTTATTTCCATCAGTGATGTGGCAGCATGGAAGGGTAGCAAGAGCAGGGCTTTGACATCATTCAGAAATAAGTTCCTAGGCCAGCTGATACCAGACAATTATGTACAAATCCTGGGTCCACACTTTACTGTGGCCTTGACAGCGTACTTAACTTGTCCGTCTCCTCATCTATGAAATGCAAACGATGGCTATGATGGGGTCGTCGTGAAGATGACATTAGGTAACATGTGAAGGTACGTATGTTACCCTTCACAAGCTCCTGGTGAATGACTGCTACAGCTGCTTTTACCTCTGGGATGCTGTGCAGACCACTGCCCTGCTCGAGGCCTAGTTTCTTTATAAGATGCTGATAATATCACTTATTTGCTGTGAGGTAACAAATGACCTCATAGCCTGTCTTTCACATTTGCAAGCGCTGGATAAATGTTAGTTCCCTTCACCAGTCACTCTCTTGGTTTCCCCACCTTCATCCCTAACTAAAATAAGAAGCTAAAACTTGATTGTCTTGCTATTAAATGGCTCAAAGAAAACTCCCAAGTTAGGTGACATTGAGCCCGCCCAGAACTAAGCCACACAGCCAAGTGTGAAGTGGGTGCTGTCTTTTATTACCTGGTACCCAGGTCTGCTGTGGAGTGGAGAGGGGGCCACGCACAGGACATCACGCCCTGAACTCCAGAGTTGAGAGCACCATTAGCAAGAACAGACTGTGGAGAGGGGTCCCTGCAGCAGGTCCATATTCCTGCACCTGTGTTCATGGCATTTTCAAAAGCCTGCTCCTTCCACCTCCCCCAAGCCTGCCACTTCACCCGTTTTCCCATCTCATAAGTGGCATCACCATCCCTCTAGTGGCTCAGGCCAGAACCTACGATCCACCCTTGACTCCTCGTCATTCATCCTTGATTTGTCGAAAGATCTGGCTTCGTTTTCTTTGTCCCATGTCTCATCCATCCGCGAGTCCTAGGCTCTGCCTCTAATGGACAGGAATACAGCCCCTTCCCACCACCCCACCCCTAGGCTAAACTGCTGGTACTTTTTTGCCTGGAATACTGCAAAAGCCTCTTAAATAGTCTGTAGGGCTCCTTTCTAGACTGTCTCATATCCATTCCCAAAGGGCCAAAGTGATCTTTAAAGCATTAATCAGATGTCTCACTTTCTTAACTCTCCAATGGCTTCCCATTGCACTTAGAACCAAGGCATAACGTGAGTCCACCACCTCCTCACCTCCCACCCTGGCCTCCCACACAGCACCCTCTGGTCGCACTCGGGCTGCACACTTGAGGGCCTTTCTCATTTCTCCTCGTCTGCAGGGCCCTGCAGATAAAAGGTTACCTCCTCCGGAGGCCTTCTCTTACCACCCTAAGTGAATAAAAATCCTTTGCTGCAATGACACTACAGCCTACTACCCTATTTTATTTTCTTCAGGCATTTATCACTAAAATGATCTTGCTTGTTTTTGTATTTATTGTCTGTCCCCCACTGGAATGTAAACTCCATGAGGGCAGAGACTTTGTTTACTGCTGTATCCTCAGATTCTAGAACAGTGCCTGGTGCATAGTAAGTACTCAACAGATATTTGTTGGTTGAAGATCATTTGATGATCTCATATCACCCCATGCAAAAGGGCTATGGCAACTTTGCAAAATCTAGAACTTTCCACATTATCTCCAGCTGATGGAAGTAGTGTCACTGTCATGTCAACTAAACTTCTCTGGTTCTCCAACTAAGTGAGGCAGTATTCTTGGGATCCTACAAGTTCTACAGTAATTTTTAATTTTTATTGTCCTGATCATTTAAAACAATCCACATGAGCATATTCTAGATCCTCCACAGTGGCCATGGGCACCTGAGGCATGACTCCCTCTGATTTGCTCTTATGCATCCCGTACAAAACCAAGTCCATTACGGGGTAGGAGCAAGGGGCATTCTGCTCTTGGAAGGACCTACATATCTATATGCATAAAATGTGCACTGAATTCCAAAGCTTTTCTTTTTAAAGAAAATCTGTAACTCACTCTTGCTGGCCCTCAATCCATTAACTTTAGCAAAAAATAAAGACCAATGGTACAGAATAATTCAGCCTCATGACAACAATGGCTTAAAATTTTAAATTTTTACTAGAAATAACTAGTACCTGTACTAGATAAAATCAATTCTATGAGTATGCCTTAAGAATGCTTCTGTGACTATTAATCAGCAATGGTATTTCTGTGGCCACATTGGCTTGTAGGTGATTAAGTTTTTAAATGTATTAAATGTCTCCTCTTCTGTGTACGGCAATACTGTTTAATTACTTGAAACACTGTTTTTATTTTGTTATAAAAATTCTTTTTTTGCAGCTTTTGAGAATCCCAGGAGCTGGGAAAATACAAGGGTACTTCAAAAAGTTCATGGAATGATTTGTTTTGGGGAAAATAGAACAATTTAATGAGGCCCCCTTGCCTTGGGTCCAGTTGGGGGTGGTGCAGCACATTCTTTGTAAATAAGTTGTGTGTGGGTGGAGTTAGTGCGCATGGGTGGAGTTAGTGCACATGCATGGTGCTGCCATTTGGCTGGTGTTGTCTGCCTCAGGCGTCTGCTCCACGCAGCCATGCTCTCAAACCTATGGCTTCTAAGGACCTTTTGGCCGGTTGTCTAGCCCATAGACCTGCGTGTGAGGAGTCTGGTGACCCAGCCTGGTGTGTGACGGGTCTGGGCACCCAGCCTGGCATGTGGAGGGTTTGTGACCCAGTCTGTGAACGGGCTTGAGGGGTCTGTGAGCTCCAGACCAAGCCCTAGCTCAACAATTGGCCCAGCTGGCAGAATTACGGGCAGGTAAAAGAGCACAACAATTGGCGACATGAGCAGGATTCCGACATTAGCCTAGCACTACAATTGGCCCAGTTGGCAGGATTACAGCCAGGTAAAAGAGCCCCAGCTCTACATTTGTATTATCTTTCAATTCTATTTTTCCATGAATTTTTTGAAGTACCCTTGTGTTTAGTGGTATAAGAGCAGGTGACACAAAGGGACTATGTACTATGTGAGTCATCCAGAAGGAATCAAGGCCACCCAGTCCCTCTTAACGATCACGACTGAGAGGCAGAAGTGTGACAGGGATGATCACATGCTCTGGCATCAGGAAGAGCTGCCCTATGGCCCTGGCTCTGCTGTTGCAAGTTCTGTGACCTTGGGCAAGTTATTTAACCTCCCTCAGCCTTGGGTTCTTTATCTATAATGTGGGAACCAGGCGGTAGTTGTGAAAAGTGAAGCTGTCAGTATGCACAGCACATTGTGAGTGCACAGTGACTATTACACAGATGACACGTGTCCTTGATGTGCTCAGAGGCTCTTTGCCTTGTCTTTATTCCCGTTTGGACCCCAGGGTCTGAATAGGGTCATTGTACAAGAATCCATTTGTTAGGTGGCTGTGATTGATCTGATAGAGCAAACAAAAGGCACAGGCCTCCATTGTGGTGTTGTCACTGACTGGCCCTGTCATCTTAGACAAATCTCTTAACCTCTCTAGATTTTTTCATCTTCTAAAGTGGGAATTAGAAGGATTAAGTTAATTAGATGAGAATATACCCTAAGTTTTAAAATATTATTCAATTGAAAATATGTTATTATGGGCAACTTGGAAGGCACAGATAAGAAGTGATGAAGATTTTTAAACTGTTCTTTCAGTTTGGCGATGCATTTAAATTCTGCCATGAACATTCCCCCATCTGTTTTAACATGTGGTCTCAGTGACAAAAGCACTTCATCCTCACGTCTGATGGTCAAGGACTGTCGCCCACATGGCAAAGGCTAAATAAATGCATGAGATGGAGAACATGCCTCGTCAACTTTGTTTTCCATGTATTTGCCAGGTGTCCCCAACACATCATCATCCTGTGGGCACAGGGGAGCAGAGACAACACGCTCACACAGTCCTGTCCTCCCCACCCAGAGGGACGGTCAGCCTAAGGTACACCTGCTTGAAACTGCACATGCCTGCCTCAAGGGGGTTAACTGAAATCTAGGAGAACAGCAAAGAGAAACCAGAGATACAATCTCCCATAAAAGTTCTCCACAACTGACTAAACACCTTTTCTTTTGTTCCCATGGTTTTTCCCATCCATAAACTATAAATGAAGATTTGTTATTGGAGGAAGGAAGGCGGGGCGGGGGGTGAGTAATGATTTACAGTAAGTTTTCTTGCAGAATAGATAATGGTGATTATTAGGTCTGTTTAGAGCTATGTTGTATTAACCTCTGTATTAAATGAACTAGAAGATACAGTTTTTAATTCAGATCAGGGAGGATCTCCCCAAGAGTTCCCTAACCAGAATACTAGAAATTTGAGACGTAAGGGAGCATTTTAAAGTACATATTTAAAAATTCGAAAGAGCTATGTTTCTCCTGATATTTCTCATGTTTATTTATTTACTTCAATTTTATGAAGATGGACAAATGGACATGTCCACAAATGGACAAACAGAAGCTTAAGGGTTATAGTAACGAACTGTAACAGCTAAGTTTAGTAGCCGTGAAAACATCCGGCACATATTAAAGCCTGAGCCTAAAAAGAACCCCTACTATATTTCCTAATTTTTTTTCCTGTCTCTTTCACTGGATTTCAAGCTCTGCATAGAATTCCCATTGAATTCCTCCCACTGAGCAAATCTTCCCTGTCTGTCTCACAGGAAGCCCAGGGGCGAGGGCAAGAAGTGCCGGAAGGTGTACGGGATGGAGAACCGAGACATGTGGTGCACTGCCTGCCGCTGGAAGAAAGCCTGCCAGAGGTTCATCGACTGAGAGGCCCCAGGCAGAGGGGCCAGCACCCTGGGCCACTTTTGCCCTTGCCCTCCACTGCAGGTGTTGGAAAGAGCTTTTCCTTCTGAACAAAATGCACCTGAAGCCCAGGAAAAGCACTTCCAGGAACCTTGGTGGTGGAATTGCAGCAAAAAAAAAAGTCACCATCCTCACTGCTCTTACTGAAAACCCAGCCTGGAGCAGCTATAACTACTTTTTTCTCTTCAAAAGAAAAGTCACCTTTTTTTGCTGTCTGTCTGAGTCTTAAAACTGTGGGCTTCTGTTGCAATTGAACCAACAAAGCCCATTTTACCTAGAAAGGAAGCATATTTTGATAAACTTTCTGAATTATGCTGTTTCTGAGATTTTTTTTTTGACACACACACAAAAATAAGCTACACATCATTCAGTAGCATTTGTACAAAGAACAATATCTGCTTTCATTGTGAATAGTCTTTTCCCTGTTTAATATCTGCTTTCATTGTGAATAGTCTTTTCCCTGTTTCCTATTTGACTTCTTGGAGCAGTACACATCATAACGTGTTGCAGGAAAGTGCAGCACTCTGAGTACGTTTTCCATGTCTTCTTTGTTTGTTTTAAGAATGACCCCAGACTGAACCATGGTAGAGCTGTCAGCTTGGAGGGCCCCAGATGACATAAACGGGGAAAGCGATTGGCAACGGAAATCACCAGCAGACTTCAGGCCAAGCCGAGTTCAGGAAATCCCACTGTCGCTATTGGGAAACATCTGGGAGTCTTCCTTGATCTATAAGAAGCTGTTCCCCAAGAGGCAGCACAGCTAACTCTCTCCCTGCCACAGCTCAGTCAAGAACGGGCACCAGTAGCCATCTGGGTAAGCCTTGATGCTTCTTTCAGGGATGTGATACAACCNAAAAAAAAAAGTCACCATCCTCACTGCTCTTACTGAAAACCCAGCCTGGAGCAGCTATAACTACTTTTTTCTCTTCAAAAGAAAAGTCACCTTTTTTTGCTGTCTGTCTGAGTCTTAAAACTGTGGGCTTCTGTTGCAATTGAACCAACAAAGCCCATTTTACCTAGAAAGGAAGCATATTTTGATAAACTTTCTGAATTATGCTGTTTCTGAGATTTTTTTTTTGACACACACACAAAAATAAGCTACACATCATTCAGTAGCATTTGTACAAAGAACAATATCTGCTTTCATTGTGAATAGTCTTTTCCCTGTTTCCTATTTGACTTCTTGGAGCAGTACACATCATAACGTGTTGCAGGAAAGTGCAGCACTCTGAGTACGTTTTCCATGTCTTCTTTGTTTTAAGAATGACCCCAGACTGAACCATGGTAGAGCTGTCAGCTTGGAGGGCCCCAGATGACATAAACGGGGAAAGCGATTGGCAACGGAAATCACCAGCAGACTTCAGGCCAAGCCGAGTTCAGGAAATCCCACTGTCGCTATTGGGAAACATCTGGGAGTCTTCCTTGATCTATAAGAAGCTGTTCCCCAAGAGGCAGCACAGCTAACTCTCTCCCTGCCACAGCTCAGTCAAGAACGGGCACCAGTAGCCATCTGGGTAAGCCTTGATGCTTCTTTCAGGGATGTGATACAACCGCAGCTCGGATCTGTTTGTTACTGCTTGTCTGTCGAAACCGTATAGCCAGGTTAAGGGTCATCGGTCCTTCCCTCAAAACTCCACCGCTGACTGATTTCAGAAAGGTAGAGAACTCCAGACTATCCCAGCAGGTTTGCTTTAGACAACAGGGCACAGCCGACATGTCCCCATCTGTTCAGAAAGTCGTGTTAGGTCAACAAACCAACTTCCATTCTGAGTGCACTTTCATAGGTTTTATGCTTTAGGTGTCTGGGAGATGGGTTAATGAACAATATAAACATTATATGGGTAAACGGAAGATCCAAACCTTTATTTTTCTCTAAAAATATTGGAGCTATTAAGAATTTGCTCAGAAGGGAACACACAACACCAAAAGGAAAATGCATGTTGGTATAGGAATTTCTCAATTTAGTAGAGCCAGGGCTTGCACTGTGTTCCACTTATTGGGCTTTCTAACCTGTTGTATTTGCTTATTTGTTTGTTTGGGTGGCAGTGCTGTAAGAAGAAGGGAGTTGTTGTCAAGCCCTATAAATAAGTTCATTCTCTACCTACCTTACTCTCAATTGCCCTGCTAAAGAGCTATTTCTCCTATACCTATGCAAAGAGGTAAGAGCACCTTATAGGAGGCACTGTGTAGGAATGGGGGATGCAGGATCAGCCATAGGAATGTTAAATGAAATTGCACAGAGGAAAGTTTAATATATGTCTAGAGACTGTACATATGCTTGTTTTAAAGAGTAGAAAGAAGTCATCTAGTAATACGGTATCTTTTTTTATATAAGCAAGGAAAATATAAGGAGCTTCTACAGTGCAACATGCACAATCTGTTGCACTCATTTATTTCGCCAATTTTATTTTTTAAACTCTCATATGACTCTTTAAAAAATTATTCCTTGGAAGAGATCCTGGTTTTTTCCTTCATTTATTTTTTTTTTAAATAAAAAAATCCACTTATTTCAAGAGAAAAGAAAATGAACTTTATCTGATTTCACATCAAGATTACCAATCAGTACTAGCCACAGCACCATCAGTGCTGTGTGTTTTAGTAATTACAAGGTAAGCCAGGAAAGGGCATTTTTAAAATGCGGAAATGTGTTTGCTTCCTCTACCCAAGCATCTCTTCCTGGTGTTCTGTCGCTTCACCTAAGCAGCGCTGCTGTGAGATGACATTCTGGCCTGGTCCAGGAGGCCATGAGCAATGGGCAGGTTGCCAGTGGCCACAGGAAGGCCAGGGCTGAGCAACTGTTTGAGCAATTTCACCATGGACTTAACTGGTAGTTAGGGTGCAATCCTGGACCAGATGTTTTTCTCTTCAGCAAAGCTCACTGCCCTTTGATCCTTGGATTAAGTCACTAATCAAAAAAAAAAAAAAAAAGTAATGAGGGGTTAGATTCATGCCCTCTCCTAGATCTTCAGAATACTAAAAGGGAGTGACTTGCTGTGGAGCAGTCCTGGAGCAAGATCCTGTGGCTCTCACCCCCGAAGATACAGCCCATGAGTAGTTCTGAGCTCTAAGCAAAGCTTAGTGCTTTCCTGGTTTTTAGCCAGTGCACAGGTATAAGCAGAACTGTAGAGCTGAATGCAACTTCCCTGGGATTTCTTCTCCTTTCTAAAGCCTTCTTCGTACAAACTCTTCTGCATCTCCTGCCCATGTGGGGGCTCCTTTCTGCCAGCCAGCCCGGGACTCTGTGTACTTCTTTTCTGGATTCCAGATGCGGACAGACTCTCAGTACCTTCCCAGACACACGGACACCCATTCCCTGTACCAAGGCATGTAATAACTAGGAGACCACCAAACTACATCTAGCTGGTCTTGAAGAAAAGGGATTATACTTCTTACAAGCCACCCGGAAAGCTATGAATTGCAATATACAGCCACTGATTGTAAAAGTTATTTTTTTTTTCAAGTAGTTATTTTGTTATATTTTGGAACTAAATGAAGTGCCAAATGAAGCCACACTTTCATTTTATGCCATCTCTGTGGAACCAAGTTCTTTTTATGTCTTCATTTGACAGAGAAGAGGGAGGAAGGTGGCTGCTTAACTGGAACCCTGTCCCCCACAGGGAGCTCAGAGGCCTGATTGTGCAAAAGAGGTAGCAATGCAATGGATCCTGTTCCCAAAGGACTTCTAAATAGGGCATGTTGTAGCTTTCTGGTTGTTTCCTCCCTTGATATCCTTTCCTTCAGAAGAGGTTTCTCATGTCTCTCTCCAAAGAAGGCATTTCATAGTGACTGACAGAGCACTCTCTCGAGAGCTGCAAAGCAAAGAGTGTTCATCAGGCAGTGGTTTAAGCTTTAGGCCTTCCCAGAGGACGTGCACCCAGTTGGTGAGAGGCAGTGTGACAACTTGGAGAAAAAAGCAGGGTAGCAAGAGGGTCAGGGAGGCGATAAACGAGGCCTATGAGTACTTGGCTCCAGCTCATCTTCTTGGTGCCAATCAGCCAGCGGTGACTGTCCCTGAGCACCTCCCAGGTTCTCTGGCTGGGAGCAGCTGCCTTAAAGCAAGGAGCTACCTACTTCAAGGGACGCAGCTCAGGCCAGGGGCTCCGGGATGCTGTGCACACCTCTAGTGGTTGATCCCTAGCAGGCATGGTCCTCTCTCTCACTTGCTGGAAACTTTCCTCCCTTGGTTGGCAAAAGCCAGTGTCAGGAAGAGAGCAGTGGGTTTCTGACCAGGAACGTGCCAGCTGCAAAGTGCCTGACAGCAGCTCCATGCACAACAAGGTGCCCTTCATTAGACAATTCCTTGCCCAGTCATAACCATGTTGCAGATGAAAGTTTTCAATAGAGTGGCCCATGTTCTAGTTCTTGAGTTTTCTGAAAACTTTTCAAAGAGATAGTCACGTGTATGTTGCAAAAGATTTGTGAAACTGAAATGTCCTCCACTAAGTTTCAAGATCACTCAAGTTTAAGTCTGCTGTCTCTGGTGTCACACTCAGCCACCCTTTTGAAAGCAGCCCTGGGTTCAGGCCCTGCTGAATCCACTTCCCCTTCATCAGACTCCACAGGAAAATGGAAGTGCAGCATTCACTTCAGAAGGTTCAGAGGAAAGGGGAAAGAATTGTATGAATAGATGGGAGAGAATACCTTGAGAATAGTAGAAAAATACTGTAAATAATATTCATTTCCTCAGGGAAAAATAAAGGATATGTGAAAAATAGGTATGGAGAGTCCTGAGACTAGGAAGAGTTGTATTATCACTAAGGTCTTTTCTAGTCAGAATGCTTTTTTCAAATGAACATGTTATCATTTCAAGACAAATTAACATGAACTGGACAGAACCGACTTTTGTGAGGCATGGGGGGTGCTCTGTGAAAAGGGGCTGTTTTCTAATTGTAGCTGGCCTGCCGTCTAAGGCTGACATTTGAACCACAGGCACAGTGCCTGGTGGGTATTCAGACTTGTGTAAGGCTTTTTCTGAATGTAATTGTGACTACAAAGCCTTGCCATTGCTTTTTATAAATCACCCCATCGGGTGACCGTTTATTAGCTATAAGCAGAATTCTGTAGGTGAAAGAAAGAGATGTGCATTTTGCTTTAATAGCATGTTAAGGAGCAAACTTCCATGAACTTATGTGGACAAGGTGCTGCTTTTTCTCACGACTTTGTAGAATTTCTGTCGACCACATCAGCTGTAACATTGACCTTTGTGAACTTGGGAAAGAATTTGTGCATACGAATGAGTGGGAAACAGAGCAGGATTCATGAATATGAATGAAAATGTGGATCATTTTGGAGCATACGCTGGGCGCACATGGGTCACCT